ACTGAAAATATACAGGCCATAATATGAAAAACTTCTTTTCACACAAACATTCAGCTTGGTTATATTCCATGCGTTAAACATGTACGTATGACCATATATATATAAGTCTATATGACATAGGAAGAATTCATTTAATGCTGATTACTTTTGACATCTTGTGTACAGTAACTCTCTGGTCTGCGGCTAAATTTATACTAGGTGCACCTTGTGTTTTACTCCCTCCTTCCTTATTATAAGATACGAATAACCGAATTACGTTGATCAAAAAAGCAGTTAAAATTAGTTAAGAACAATCAATATAATTTTTTTTTCAAAAATGCCCTCATTAATAAGGAGAGAGAGCATGAGAGAGAATAATTAAATTATTGAAAGAAAGAGAAGTGAGAGGGAGAGAGAGTGTGAGTTGGAACCAAAATATGGGTAAAATAGGAAATCAACACAAAAAAGTAGAGACAACTTTTAAGTGTCTCTTATATATAAAAATATGCCATAAGCATCAAATGTCTCTTATAATTAGGAACGGAGGGAGTAATATTCTTGATTCTTCGATGGAGAAGAAGACATCAATCTTATTATGACAATGTTGAGGACTTCCTCCGAAATAATAGTAACCTGATGCCCATCAAGTACTCTTACTCAGAGATCAAGAAAATGACCAATGGCTTCAAACACAAGTTAGGAGAAGGAGGCTATGGTTATGTGTATAAAGGTAAGCTTCGAAGCAATCGCGATGTAGCCATCAAGTTACTGGCAAAGTCCAAAGCCAATAATGCACAAGATTTCATTAGTGAAGTTGCCACTATTGGCAGGATTCATCATGTCAATGTGGTGCAGCTGATTGGATTCTGCACTGAAAGAAGCAAGCGAGCTCTTGTTTATGAATTTATGCCTAATGGATCACTTGACAAGTACATATTCTTGGAGAGACAAAGCAACACGCCCATCAATTATGAGAAAATGTTTAACATTTATCTTGGGATTGCTCGAGGAATTGAGTATTTACATCGAGGATGTGATATGCAAATTCTACACTTTGATATCAAACCTCACAATATCCTTCTTGATGAAAATTTTAATCCAAAGATTTCGGATTTTGGATTGGCTAAGTTGTACTCATTAGATAAGAGTATTGTGTCTTTGACAAATGCAAGAAGAACATTTGGATACATGGCTCCTGAATTCTTGTACGAGAACATTGGAGGAATATCACACAAAGCTGATGTTTATAGTTTTGGGATGCTACTAATGGAAATGGCTGGCAGAAGGAAGAACTCGAATGTCATTGAGCATTCCTGGCAGACCTATTTTGCGAAATGGGTTTATGATCAATTTGAGGAATCAATAGAGGGGAGCAATATCTCAGATGAGGAAAGAGGAATTGCAAAGAAGATGATTATAATAGCTTCACATTGCATACAGATGTATCCTAATGATCGACCTTCGATGAAGAATGTGTTAGAGATGCTTGAGGGAGAAATGGAGCTTCAAGAGGCTCTTCCTCCCTAAATTTATGTAACTTGGTGAGAGATTTTAGGAGAAAATATTGCTACTACTGACAACTTGTGTTCCGATTAAACTACTTGCAAATAAGTAAAACTAGCATTATGGTTCATATTTTCAATGTTTTCTGAAGTATTCTGATTTACTGGACTATATGTAGGTCATTGTTGGAAGAAGGTTGTTATCCTAGTAAATAATGAAATTTTTATGTTGCCACGTTTTTACATGCTCTTTTATGACATAGCTATATTTCTTCAGTATATGGAAATTTAAATTAACAAGTTTTCTCTGCAGTTATGCATTTTTAAAAAAGAATTTGCTGTTTGGCGGAATTCTAATTCATAGTTTATATAACTTGCATGATGATATAAGGAATCCAGTAGATTTAAATTAAGAAAACGAGTTCGGAAAGATAAAATTAAGTTTCAAATTTAATATTACTTCCTATCCTAATTATAAAATCTACTTTGTAGTACAATATTACAAATTAGATTTTATATTTATGGCAGAGTATTATACTTTTTTTTTTTGGGTAATGTGGTGGGGCTTCCCATATAAACGCTGTCACATTTTCCTAGAAACTGCTTGGTCCATCTTTCTTATCACTTTGTTGAAAGTTTGTCGCCAATAATGAATTCAGTGGTAGTAAAGCACAGCAATTGTGGTTGACTTGGAGTCAATATAATTTGGCTTTTTTAAAAAAATTAATTTCCATCGGCTTATGGTTCCATCCAATCAATTGTTACCGAAACATCAATTCTTGCCAACAATATGTAGAATAGTATAATCTAACTAAAAAATTTCAGAAGTATAACTATATATTTTTCATTTTGATAAGAATGAGATATTAAATAGAAGCAAGGAAAATTTGCTGAAAGTTACTTATCTGGGTAGATTTTGATTAAAATGACTTGAATTCAGTAGGCAAAACTCATCTTCAACATATGAGTGTAATTTTTCTTCAGCTATGCAACATGTATTTCTTTTAGTACTTAGTTAAAAGAGTTGCAATGAGTTGCAGCTAGATCTTTAAACAAATTTCAAATTGTTTTGGTGATAAATATTTCAGATAGGTACTTCTCGCTAATTTTTCCTAGAAACCATTGCAAATGTAGTTTTCTCATAATTACTATTTATTAGATTATATAAATTCAATTTTTCGTTTCTATTTAAGTGTATTCTTTTTAACCGTATACATGTGTGTGCTAGAATGAAGCAAAATTCCTCTTGTCATCATCATGTTCTTCATCTTCGTTGAAAATTCTTGTGGCATTTGTTAATGGGCGGTGGTGGTGGTGGAATTGCACAAGGCATTGACTCCAAGTCAACTGTTATTAATAATATCTTTAATCATCAATCACTCACGGGCAGTCACCAAAAATCTGTCCTAGTCAATTCTTATATAAATTATATAGAATTGAGTTATTTCAAAAGTTGGGAAGCAACTTTATTATTTATTGGCCACTGCACACAAAAAGTTCCATTGGCTCTATTTTTTAAAAAATGTTTACTTTAAAATTCTAATAAAAATTCATAAAAATGTAAAAGCAAATCTCATTTATATTTTTATTGTGTTACTCTTACTATTGTCTCCCACATTTTAACGATCCCCTTCAATGGAGATTTAAAATACTACTTCTTCTTGTCCTAAATATAAGACCCATTTTGTAGTGTAAATTACACTACAAAATAGGTCTTATATTTAGGACCGGAAGAGTATTAAGCTTTCTTTGTGGTTATACACTTCGAAAAGAATTTCGTTTACATTTGACGTAATTTTAGTTCATTTAAATGGATAGTCCCTGCTTCAAAAAATGAGTTCGTGAAGAGTGAGCCGAGCTTCAGAACAGGGAAGCCATTCGCATATATGGAGGCCTTTGCAGTTTATTTTTTATCCACTTTATTCAAAAGGATATAATTCTTCAAAGAACTTAGATTATGATATATAGCTTTAGCCAACCATGTGGCTATGAAATACCGGACAACAATTTTTTTAGGTTGTTTATAGCCACTGGCAAAAACGTAGAACTTATTTATAATTGTTTAGAATTTTTTTTCATGGATAACTATCTATGATCCTATTTTGGAAATTTACACTACAAGAAGGAAAGACTACCAGGCTAAACACAAATTTACGTCTAACACAGCTAATTATATCCATCTGAACTTCACTCTATTTCTGAAATGGCAGATAACTCTGGTTCCAATTGCCTTACTCCATTAACAGCTCTTATTCTAATTGCATGTGAGGAACCAAAAGGGTTAGGAGGCATGATTAGCTTTTCATCGTCCCCTTCCAACATTTGAACCACGTTTTTCATGGTTGGACGGTTTGCTGGATGCCACTGAATACACCAAAGTCCAATAATGGATAGCTTCCTTGCAATTTTAGTGTCCTCCTCTCCTTCCACATGGATTTGTATGTCTTCATTGTTCTCTAGAAGATTATAAATCCATTGTGGGTAGTAAACTTGCTCGCCATTTTCTTCTGTGACATCTGTGATTTTCCTTCCTCCAACCATCTCAAGCAGTAACATTCCATAGCTATAAACATCTGATTTATAAGACGCATTGCCAAAGTTCTGAGAAAATATCTCCGGTGCAATATAGCCCAAAGTGCCCCTGGCTGTTGTCATTGACACAATGCTTTGATCCTTAGAACAGAGTTTGGCCAAACCGAAATCAGATATTTTTGGAGTGAATTTGTCGTCTAACAGAATGTTGTGAGGTTTGATATCAAAGTGGAGGATCCGTTTGTCATAGTCTTCATGAAGGTACTCAATTCCTTTGGCTATGCCAAGAGCAATATCATGAAGCTTTCCCCATCACAGGAAAAGGTCCTTCCTATCAGCTGAAGTTATGAATTTCTGCAATGAACTATTGGGTAAAAATTCATAAACCAAAGCTCGTTTGAATCCATCCGCACAGTAGCCAACCAAGCGAGCCACATTGACATGGTGAATTTGACACATGGTCTCCATTTCATTGATGAACTCTTGTCCATTCCCAGTAGAAGTGTTGAGAAGCTTCACAGCCACCTGAATTTCATTAGACAGCTTCCCTTTAAAGACAATTCCGTAAGCTTCTTGTCCAAGTTCATCCTTGAACTGATTAGTGATCCTCTTTATATCTGCATACGAGTTATCTAGCAGGCCTAAGTGCTTTGTAATCCTCCAAAAACAGTTTAATTTTTTTGTAACCCTGCCTCTCTAGGCTAGCTGCATAGACCCAATAAGCAACAAACCCAACAAATATGAGCAGAAACGGGCCTAGGATTTCAACTGCAAATACAGCGGCATATACAATATGTATTAAATTGATTTGGGAACTTTTGTGTTCAATTTATATGTGAAATGATGAACCGTTGGCTGAAGAATCCTTACGAGTGAGTACTATCTTTTTTGATGGACCTGCTAAAATGAACTTTGTATCAGGTTCACATAGACATGGATTTCATACTCTGTTTATGAAGGTATTATAATTGGAGAAAAAAAGTATACCTGTATGAGGGTTTTGGAAACATTCAGGTTCACGTTCAACTTTGTTTTCTGTCAATTTACACTGCCCTCCATCTTCTTCACATTTAGTGCAATTTGGTTTGAGCCAAGATAGATATGCAAGCTTATCGTAATTGTAAAATGAATTGGGCACTGATGCATAACTAGGAATTCTTGTGCAAGATAGAAGAGGATAGTCCAAGATTGCCTCTCCATATGGTATAGCTAAAACTTCATAGCCAGCAACATCGAGGCAAGAAAAGTTCCCCCATTGTCGAAATTTTGAACTTCTACGAGATGTCCCTGAGCAATTGAATAACGCATTTCGGCTTGATTCATAATAATCATTTGACCGAAAAGGAGATGCAGATAAATTGAGATGAGCAAGGCATCCATCAGGCTCTGACATGTCAAAGAATTGCTTTTTATAGTCTACGTCTTGTATGATAACCTTGACTGAGAAAGGCAGCTCGACCACGGTCTGGTTTGTTTCAGTACAGTAAAGATCAAAGTGCGGATTATATGCACACCGTGCTGGCTGTTTTCCTTTGAGTCTAAAGGGGAATCGAATGTCTGGTCCATCAGCGCTGCACCTTGTTACTTTGCATGGATCACGGGTGTCTGGTTCTGCAAAAATAGTTAAGATGCAGAACAATAAGACCAGGATGGGCAATCGGCTATGCTGTTTCATTGTTCAGAACAACCTTTAGGTACGATGCTGACACATGAAATGTAAGATAAAATTTTGTGAGAGTTTGAACAATAGAAATGGGCAGCAAGTCAGCAACCGCCCTCCTGAGGAACCATTGTTCCTATTTACTGGAAATTTCCTCGAACAAGCGAAATGAAACTAAAAGTCAAACCTTTCATTGTCTTTGTTTCCTCAGCATAATCCCACAAATGCATTTCATTAATTGTATGGTTGGTTGTTTGGTAATCATCTTTGACTTTGGGAAAAAATATATATATATATATATATCTTCCATTGCTTTCCTTGAAAATTCTGGTTACCTTCATTAACGATTGGCGATAGAGGATTGGCACAAAGCATTGACTTCAACTCAATAATGTAAAATAAAAAATAAAAAAATCAATTAAAAGCTTTCAACTCAATTTCTCCAATTTTTATAAACTCATTAAAATTTCCTCTCTCATCTCCTCCCCTTCATTTCCATCAAACCAAATATATCATTAAGCGAATTTTAAAATCTTAATACTATTTCCTATCCTTAATATAAAAACTAGTTAACTGATTTGAATAGATTAAGAAAATCAATTAAATTAGTCTTTTGTAATAAATAAATGTTATCTTCTTTAAAATACTCTTGTTAATAAAAAATATTAGTTAGAACTACTATTTAATAAAATCTTTAACATTTGCAACTACTGTAAGAACTACGTTGAAAAAATATGAATAAATATGAGAAACAAAATGTATTAGAGTCTTATATTTAGGATCAAATTGAATGTCAAAGTAACTCTTATATTAAAAATTAGAAGTAATATAAATTAAACTTCCCATTGAATTGCTTGTGAATGTCAGAGACACTCCAAAACAAATACATATATGTGGTTGTGTCCATCCATCACCTCTGCTTGGAAACTATCTTGTTTCTTTCCTCCTCTGATCCTTCACAATGATATACTGGACCTTCATAATCATCTTCCTTGCCTTCTTTGCTTTCCTTTTATACACTAATATCGAGAGACTTATCTCTGGCCAAACAGTTACTGAATCCTGCGGACATGTGTTCAACGCCTCCATCACAAATAGAAACTATCCCTTCAATAGTTGCAGCGATCCGAGTTACGAACTAGTATGTGAGAACAACAGAAGTGCGTTGTATTTAAACTATGGGAGGCACTTAGTAGAGGCCATTTATGCTGCTAACTCCGCCACAACTCTCCAATCCATCACCGCCGGAGTTGACAACAACAACTGTTCGGCGATCTCTCGTCATTCTCTCACATATCACAACTTCAGCCAAGCTTTCACAGCCAAAGAGACAGAACTAGACTCCAAAAATTACAACTTCAATTACTATGTGGGAGGATTAGTGTTTGTCAGCTGCCAACATCCACTCTCTCCTGATCTGCATACGGATACTGTGGAACCTTGTACGAGTGAAGCGCCAAGAACGCGTCATTCTTATGTGCTGCCGTGGCATGCAAGGGTGTCTGATGTGGAAGAGTCCTGCAAAATAGATTTGATGGTGAAGGTGGTGCCATGGGGACCAATGACATGTAATGAGAACTGTTCATATCCGAAAGTTCACAGCCAAGAGGTAAAGGGGATACACATCACATGGCGACCAAATCGTTGTGGGGAGTGGGAAGGAGAGAAAGGTGACTGCTGGTTTGAAGATGCCACTAATATGGTTCTTTGTCGAGACCAATACGCAGAATTTTCTCTTCCCTTGTTTCGTGGTGAGCTTCATTTAGATTAATTAAGACTTGGGATATTTATTCTGATGGTGATCTAATAGAAAGTAATTACATTTGGAATTTTTTTACCACGCAGGCTTTGCAATAGTCGTGACTTCTATAGGTAAGCAAAGCAAAGTTTTCTTCTTTATGGCTTCTTTAATTCATTATTCATGCCTTGATTAATTTATCATACTTGCAAGGTTAATTCCTAAAACATTTATTGGATGTATGGTTTCGTTTTATTTTATGTGCTTTTTACTTTACACTACCTCCAATCTTTAATATAAACACTAGAATATTTAATTTTGTCCTGAATATAAAACCTCAATCCATCTTATTTCTAATATTTATCTATTTGCCATCAAGTAATCCCTATAGTAGTTACATATATTAAGAAGTTACTATTAGTGGGTAGTTCAAGCACACATAATTAATAAAAATATTTTAAAGAAGACAATATCTATTTATTACAAATAACTAACTCAACTAATTTTCTTAACAAGGATCAAAAGTAATATCAAATAGATATGTTAGAAGGGTTTTATTTTGTAAAATACAAATATATTTTTTTTAGGGCGGTCCAATATTAATTTTTTAACTTTGCCTTTTCAGGCTACAATATTCTATCAACTGCCAGACGTCTATTCAACATGACAGGATACACAAGCTCTAATTATGAGGGTTTAGGTCTAATATTAATTGTTGGTTTAATATGGTGCTTAACCTAGAATCTTTGGCACTATGGGTTTTCTACTCCAAGCCACCCTTGATTGGAGAATTTTAGAAGTCGAGGAAACGTAAACGTAGTGATCAATGCCTAATCAAGGTCTCAATCATTCTGCTTACAAGTCATAATTATTTTTTAAAAAAATTAAAAGAAAAGGGGAGAATATAAGGTCTCAAGAAAAAAAATATATAATTACTAAAAATCTCAATAACAAATGAGTATTTTTTAATCCTAAAAATTGTCATTGCAAACTATTCAATTATGAAATTTTTTTAGTGATGATATTCCTTCTTTGGGACCTTAGAGCAATTTTTCACTAAAAAAATTAACACCTCAATTCCATAGGCTCACCCAATTTCTAATTGAGCTGCACGAGTCCTCGTAGTTTTCTCAATTATAATGTCTTTTTTTTTTCATTAGGTTTAATACCCATTGGTCCCTAAGATAATGGATAATATTCTATTTGCAACAGCATTAGTGACTATTGTGGGGGCTGACAGATTATGATTAGGCTGTGACTCAGCATATGCATTAAAATTGCCACATAGTCTAAACCCCTAACCAAACTATCACTTATAATGACCAAAAATGCACCTGCCTGCAAAATTTTTATCAACGTAAGACCTCTCCATTCCTCTGCATTTTCTTCTGGCCATTTATCTATTCCAAACAGTTTGATAGCAGACAATTAATGACTGTAAACAATTAGGCGTTTCATAAAGAATGCAGTTCTTTTTTTTTTTTTAGCAGAAACAGTAGTCCATTTTATTGATTATCAGAAAAAGTAATACAATCTCGAATAACCCTGTAAAGCAAAAGACAAAGAGCTCTAAGATACAACAAAGGAAGTAAAGACAGGAAAACTAGGAACAACCTGACAGAACAAAAAGGCAAAAGAACACAAAAACCAGAAAAAATTACAGCAAAATAAACTCAGCCTATCTATTAATTTCTTCACACCAGCAGCAGTGTTAGGACTTTAGAGATCATATCTTAAAACTTCCATAAGAGAGAATGGTGGCTTGTCAAGCCATCCCTGCAGTACCATATCCCTCATCACCATAGCTGCAATAAGATCTGTAGCATTATTGCCCTTAAGAGAGACTAAGGACAGCGACCAGTTTTTGACAGAACCCCCAACCTCCAAACACTTTTTCAGCAAGTCAGTGCAGTTCCACTCACAGCCCCTTATGTCGCCACTTCTCAGCCTCTTAAACAACAATTGAGAGTTTGTCTCAATCACAACTTTACCATCACAGAATATGTCCTTATCATGAAGAGCTTCCATAAAAGCTAAACACTCAGCCATGAAAGTAGAGTTAGCTTCCACCATCTTTCCCACTCCTCCTAGAAACCTTCCTGCACTATCCCTCCCAAGCAAACCAATGCTCGCACACTTCCTGCTAGGACAGAAAGCACCATCGACATTAATCTTGACAACCCATGCCTGAGGCTTTTGCCAGTATAGTAATCTGTCATCCGAATCAACGATCCCTTTCCTTCTTTCCTTCCTCTCCAACTGACTCTAATATTCATTGGCCAATCTAATAGCTCTAGATAAACAGTTCACAGCATTAACGTCAACATGCTCAAAAACACTGTTACACCCTTCCTTCCAAATATTCTAAGCATAGGCAAGCAAGCAAAGCAACACTATAATCATCTGACTTCATTCTCCCTGGCAACCACCTGTCCATCCTAACCATGCTACCCTCCATAAACCTCATAGCCAAGGGAGAACCAAACCAGCACGATTGAGCCCAAGAACATAAAAAAAAAAAAAAAAAACAGCATGCTCAATGGATTCAACACTCCCCTTACAAATGCTACACATTGGATTAGTGGTGCATTTCCTTTTAAAGAGCTTTGCCTTAGCTTCCAGTGCACCATTCATTGCTCTCCAAAGAAAGTGATTAACTTTTGGAGCTACTCGAATCTGCCAAATGCTATTCCAAAGTCTCCTGGAAGCCTTATACAAACTGCTAGGCCTCTCCTCCACCACACTACCCTCCTCCCTCTTAGGAGCCTTTTAACCCAGCTTCACAGAGTAATTGCCATCCCTACTCCCCAACCAAACATACTTATCAACCCCTTCCATAACAAGTAGCCTTACCATGCTAATCCACTTCTTTTTCTTATCATCCAACATATTTTCCACAGAACTAAAGTTCCATTGTTGATCAACAATTATATTAGCTACCCTCATTTTCTTCATATCATCCGAAAGTATCCTCTGCTTCAGACAATGGCCCTTGGCTTCAGGCAGCCATTTATCCTAAAAAAGACTAATTTTAGCACCATAATAAACTTTCCAAGTTAAATCTTTTTGAAGAAGCTGTCTACCCTCCAAAATACTCTACCAACTCCATGATGCCTTATTACCCCTCTTGGCTTGCATAAAGTCAGAATTTGGGAAGTATCTACCGTTTAATATCTTACACCACAAATCATCTTGATTTTGACATAACATCCAAGCAGTTTTAGTAGGCAAAGCCTTATTCATTTTCATGAAGTCCCTGAAGCCCATACCACCCTCCCCTTATCACTACACATACAACTCCACGACTTCCAATGAATTCGACCTTCCATCTCCTTTTAGCCCCACCATAAACCCGAAGTCATTCTATCCTTGGGAAATTATGACATGTAATTTTGACAAGAGTGATAGAAAAAAGAAAGAGATGGAAGGAGAGAAAGAGTTGAGAGAAGAATCCAAAGGAATCAAGAGGGGAAGGTAATAGGAAACTGAGAAACTGAGAAACGCACACCGAATTACTTCATTGATGTTTACAGATCATTATCTGAATACAAGATAAGTGTGGGTCCTATTTATAAGCTCAATACCAACTCTAGTTTCCTAACATGTTCACAAGTCCTATTTCCATCACGCACATAGTCACAATTACACAACAAACTACTCCGTTTGAGGACCCCAACTATACACAGCACATAAGATTCAATAGGAATTGCACATTTTAGGATTCCCAATAGGTAATTTGTAGTTTAAATCCAATTTTATCTTTCTACCAGAATAAGTCTAATTCTATCAGTCATATGGCAAACATGCAATTGTTAATGGAAATTATTTTTTTGGCACCCAGCTTCCACAACATAAAAAATTTAATAGTAAGTCCTTGAATTGAATTGGACTGAAATTCTCTGGATATTTTGTTTTATTTTGCTTCATTCTTTTCATTTAGTTTGCCTTTTTCTTTTATCCTTTTTTGTAGCTATCCTTTGGTTTGCAGCAAAATTTGCTTTGGGATTCCCAATTGTTGTGGGTTTTCTAATATATAAAATGAGAAGGAGGCATTTATCTGAGTATGATGACATTGAGGATTTCCTAAGAAGTCACAGCAATTTAGTGCCCATTAAATACTCTTACTCTGACATAAGAAGAATGACAAAAAATTTCAAGCACAAGTTAGGAGAAGGGGGTTATGGTTCTGTATATAAAGGAAAGCTTCGAAGCAAGCGTGATGTGGCTGTTAAGCTATTAGGCAAGTCAACAACAGATGGGCATGATTTCATCAATGAAGTTTCCACCATTGGAACTATTCGTCATGTAAATGTGGTGCAATTGATAGGATTTTGTGCAGAGAGAAGAAAGCAAGCTCTTGTTTATGAGTTCATGCCAAACGGATCTTTAGATAAATACATACTTTCTGAGCATGAAAAATCATCAATAAATTATGAGAAGATCAATGAGATTTCTTTAGGGGTGGCTTGTGGGATTGAGTACCTACATCAAGGCTGCGACAAGCAAATCCTACACTTTGACATCAAACCTCACAATATTCTTCTTGATGAGAATTTTTCTCCCAAGATTTCAGACTTTGGATTGGCAAAACTATATCCAACAGATAAAAGTATTGTGTCTCTAACTGCAGCTAGAGGCACAATGGGATACATGGCTCCTGAATTGTTGTACAAAAACATTGGAGGCATCTCACACAAGGCTGATGTTTATAGTTTTGGGATGATGCTGATGGAAATGGCAGGAAGAAGAAAGAACCATGATGTTGTGCAGAATTCATGGCAGACTTACTTTGCGAAATGGGTTCATGATCAGTTTGAAGAAACAATATTTAAAAGCAATGCCACAGAAGAAGAGAAGAAGATAACCCTGAAAATGATTACAGTTACTTTTACTTGCATACAGCTGAGCCCAAGTGATCGCCCCTCAATGGGCAGAGTAGTGGAGATGCTTCAAGGGGATGTTGACGGCTCAGAGGTCTTCAGAGCATAGTACGAGTGACTGTTCAATTTAGCGTAAGGCGTGTGAAAATGAAATAATATTTGTAAGAAACAAGCATGATCTATCATGAATTTACGTTGACGGATCGAACTGCCAGGCACATGAAGTAGTGCATCATTTCATGAGCCATTTTGTATTCAAAAAACCTTTTTTTTGGCCAGCAAGTATCTCCCCCCTTAGGCTGGGGGGTTTTGCCTCAGAGAAGATGCGGTTTTCAAAATTAGCCTTTTAGATATAAGATATCTATGCTATATATATATTAATCTAAGAAATATTGCAAAACCTGACTCTAGATCATTTTCTTATGGTTTGAAAATTTTCACGCATTAGTTTTGCAGTGTACGATTCCAAAGTAAAGGAATCCCCCTCCCCTAAACACCAGGTTATTGATCAATGCATTACACACATTTCTTAATTTGTGGACATTAGGAAGTGTTCCCAAATCCTTTCACAGTAAAAACCAAAATCAGCTGTATGGAACTGAATAAAGTAATCAGCCAAAAACGCTCACCTATTCCAGGGTGCTGATTGCAAACTCGGCAATATACAGCTGTTCAATTCGTAGCTAGGGTTTAATCAGGTTCTTTTAAATTGGCAATTGCTTGAAATGACCCGGTAAAAAGAGCATTGTCCCAAATCCTTTTTCCTGCCACTTCACGGAAGCAATGCTCTTTCCTCCGCATGCGAGAACGAAGGCTCCAAGGACAAAGGAAAACTAGTGCGACGTTTAAAAAAAAAAGAAATAAAAAACATTAATGCGAAGTGAGGCTCTTTATGCATAGTTGCATACTGATTAATTGGGCTTTCTTTTCTTCTTTCGATAGCCCCAAATCAAAGATCCAAACATGCTCGTAAGTACCTGTCATTTGTGGTTAGCCTAATCTAAGAAGCTCAGAGGCCTTGCACGGAGAACTGCAAATATATGAATTCCACTTTACATTTCAAACTAAACCGACGTTTGGATGAAACCAAATCATGATTTGAAAAATAATTTCTAAAAAATAGATTTATAAAGAATAGATTTTGTGAAAAAGTAATTCTGATAAAGTGAGAGTGTTTGGATAGTTGTTATTAGAAGCATTTTTTATATGTACACATTAGTAAAAAAGGCATAAATTAATATGATAATTACATAAAAGATAAATTTTATAATATATTTTAATTTCAAGGAATAAAATTGTTAATAATATATTCTTTATCAACATAATTAATAATATATAAGATAATATAATTAATAAATAATTAATATGTGTATGTATATTTATAAAACATAAGATTAAATATTTATAAAAAAATAATTGATGGGTGTTAAAGTTATATTATCGTTGAAATCTACTCTGACAGGCACAATCATACTCTTCAATTTAAACCAGAAACATAATGGATTCATTTCTTTTGAAACTATGATTTTGGCCCAAAACTATAGTTTGTCAAGCATGAGCTTGGCGTCGGCGGTGTTCACAACTAGGGATTGAGCTGCCGCTGGTCATTTTTTTCCCTTCTTTTTAATCGTCTTGTCTTTGTTTAGAAACTCCTGCGTTCTGCTATCAAATTAAGCTGGGGATTGCTAATAACATGAAACCAAGCATTCACGGGGGAAAAAAATTCGAAGGAGGCAATAATGTTTGTGTTATTATGGTTTTGTGAGTATAATTTATGAAGAAAACACCTTTAGGGCAACAAACATAGTTGAACAATATAATTTCGCAAGTCCTGATTGACCCTATGCATAATGCGTTCTTATTAAGATATATGTGAACCAAGTTCAGTTAGGAGTCCTAGGATTCCCATCCCTGTTCATCATATGGGTGAGATATCTTTATTCCAATGTAAGATAATTTACAATAGGGCTGTCATTGGTTATGCAGTAATATTGATTACGTGTCAATATGTGTTCGGACTCGTGGCTTGTGAGAGAGAAGGGGGTAGAAGGTGAGATGACAGGGTGTTCATGAAAGGCGAAACTACAGTGACAATCTAAATAAACATTCTACCTTGGGGACATCAGCCTCCCCCACATGGTACATGTTTTAGGTGTACTTGATTTTAGGTAACTAGTACTCCCTGTTTCAGTCTGATGGAGAAAGCTTCTTTTCTGGAGAAAAGGGAAAATTCCATCAAAGAATGAAATTACAAAGGGCATGCGGACCAAAAAACCTGAGCATATCAGCTAATTAAAGCAAAAGAAAATATAAGTAAGTTAGAGACATCAAAAGATGTTCAGTATGTTAACAGCCCGTCTAGTGGGACCGGATGGTTCTCTAACAAAGCATAAGATCTCAAATAATGAAGATGTGATGCTTCTAAAACCACGTTGGTTTCGAGACCCCCACGTTGCAAATTTGACAGATTTAAGTATTCTAGTAGGGAGACCACGTGTGTTTATGTGTGTGTGTGTGTGTGTTTTTTTTTTTTTTTTATAGATAATTTGTTTTGGTTGCTGACATGAAGATTCATTGTCTCTGCAACTTTTAATATTGTCACGCCTAGTTCACATCTGCTGTCACTTGTGTCTAAAGTAACAATGATTGTCTGATCAATGTTAGTGTGTGCCAATTCTTGTTACATGCATCATCCTAAATACGGATTACGTCCTTTTTAATTAAAGTAAAAGTACTTTTGCCATGGGCATAAAATTAAAACATAATGAACCATGGGTTACTCAAGAAGTTTAACTTGAAGTGCGAAGAACTTCATATTATTAATGGGTATGGTCTTGTCTTGATAACAAGTAGCATAAACATGTTGATACACTAGAACTTGTTATCAAATGCTACTCATTTGTTGTAGGAAATTTTGTTAATTACATTCCTTTATATTAGGTTTCGTGTTGTCTTCTCATATGCTTTTAAACTTGCAGAATATTAAACATTTACATCATTGATCAGTGAAGCCAAATGGCTGGAACTGTTAGCTCCGAGTTGGAGACCCCAGAAAAGGATCACCTTATTTACCGATGTAAGAAATGCCGAAGAATTGTAGATTCAGACGAGAATAGCGGGGAAAAGGAGAAGCAAGTTTCAAATGGAAGAAGAGAAATGAGAACACAGAAAAACAGTCAGTGGACTGTACCTCGGTATTTGTCGAGCCCAGAAGTAGATGCAAACAGGTTTTCGTAAATTTCAATCAATATATTATCCAGTTGCCATAAGATTTTCCTTTTCATTCTTCACACTAACTCTGTATGAGTATTGCTTCACTTGGCAGTTGATGAGGGCCATGTAGAGGAAAAACTTTTCTGTTTGGGATGCAATGCTCGTTTGGGTTATTTCCACTGGGCAGATATGCAGTGTAGCTGTGGAGCATGGGTGAATCCTGCATTTCAGCTGCATAAATGCCATTTAGATGAGTGCTATATATGACTCAATCGCTTCTCAGCTTCCCCATAATCCACACCTGAGGCTTGGAAAAACTCGATAGTAGTAATACCTGAACATCAGTAAGGAGCTTTTCCTTATGGATTATGGGAGTTTTAGAATATGGAATTTTGTACAGCCACAGGTTTGGTCTCCTGCACCACCATAATAGAAAAAAGTTAGTGCGCATTTTTTTTGAACAATTGATATCTAATTTAGACATTCAAAAGCTATTATTACTATTTTGTTCTAAAATATAGCATAAGTTCCCCCCATGCCTTTTTTTTATAATTAAATCATTTAATTTTGCTCTGTTAGAACCGTTAAGTCTTATAACTTTTTTATGTGCTAACAATACCAATAAAGCAAAATTGAATGATTTAGTAAAACAAGAAGAAAACATGGGTACAAGTCTTTTTTTGACCAGCAAGTTTTTACTACAAGTCTACAACATATTATACAAAAGTAAGAAAATAATGAAACATATACATAAAAATTAAATTTGAAATCAAACTAATTTGAAATGTAACTTTTAATTTCATGATTTTAAAATTAAATTCGTAACTATAGTAAGGAATTGGAAAAAAAAAAGGACCAAAATCTAAAAAATTGTCTTTTTTAAGTATGCCCCTAACTAAATAGAGATATTTCTGAAAAGATCATTTGTTTTTTGTTTTGAAAGATTTTGAAAAAGATTATGAAATTCTGAACAAATTTTCCATCTCACACGCATATCATATCCTGTTACAAGCAATGTTTTAAGAGCCGGACTAAATGTCAAATCAGAAAGATCAACAAGTTATGAGTTAAACGGTTAGATTGGTTAGACCATTTAATCAAACCATTAATATAATAATTAGATAAAAATAATGTTACATAAATATCTAATAATGTATATAAGAATAAAACATCAAATAATAATTGACAAATTAAATTATAAAGTGATAAAATAATTTTTTATGATTTTAATTACAGGCATGATTAGTAATAAAAAACCAAAAGAATGAAATTAAATATATAAAAAATTAATTTTAAAAATACAGTAAATTTTTAAGATGTATCCAGCGGATATGATGTGATCTCACAATTAATTCAATGAGCTCTCTTCAAAATTAATATTAAAAAATGAAAAAATAAATAGTATAAGTGGCAAAAACAAATCGATTGGATATATTATATCCACGTTTAATTCGTCTATCTCACTTCAAAGATAACATTGAAAAAAGAGATGATATTATTAGCCTTCAAAATTGGTTCTCTTCAGAAATTTTTAAACGCATTTCATTTAATAAAAAGATTTTTTAAAACAAAATATTTATTAATTAGCTTGTTCTGAATGCACCACTCACTAGGAATGCTGAGGGCGTTGCGCTCTCCCCCCCCCCCCCCCCAAAAGCGGCTGCTTCTTCATCTTCTGTTTCTCCCGTTCGACTCTCTTAAATTCCAGCGATGAAGAATGGCCCTGAGATCGGAGAAGGACACAACGGTTCTTCTTCCATCTCAATAGAAGAATCGATTTTACAGATAAGAGTTTCACCCCTCTTCCTTCTTCAATGAATATATCCCCCTATTTCAATCTTCATCTTCTATCCTCGACTTCTTCTTCATCCTCCTTCTTTGATCTTCGTCCCCGTTCTGTATGAGACTCAATACCCCGTTCTGTAATTTCGCTCCTGCGAAGTTCGACTTCCACGTTCTACCGATCTCTGCGCCTCTGCCTCTGGACGGTAGCCGTCGTTGGCGGCTGTATCTGCATCTCTGCCACTCGTTGTTGCGTCCTTTTTATGTCTCCAGATTCTCGCCGTCGAACGTATCAGATCTCAACCTGACTTCGGTGCCCTGCGCCCCCGCCTCTCCCAGTTAGCCATCTACTTCGTTCTTCGTGAGTTTGTGTGCTTTTGGGCTTTGGCTTTAGGTTCGTCTTCTCTCCAGACTCCAATTTTAAATTCACTTTATGATTTTTGTTGAATATTGAATGTGTTTGTGTTTTAAATTGAGTACTGACTAATCCTAAGTGCTTGTGTGTTCGTGAGAAGATTAGTTAAATGCGCTCTGTATATGATTTCAATTTTCAACAGTAAATATTTAGCTGCTGGACTGGACCATTGGGTCGTAGAGTGGACTATTTCTGGTATGTGGTAATTGAAGAACCTTCTTTTGAAATTCAGAATCACATTGAAGAGTCTTATAATTATACTCAATTGTTGAACCATTGTTATTTCTTTCTGTGTTAAAGGTGACTTTGGAAAGCTTACTGTCTCATGCATGTTGACAGCAGGAGGAGGTGAATTGATTAAATAGAACTCTTGTAATGGTGAAATAAAGGCTAATTATATATTTAAGCGTAATCTTTAATGATTTCTTTTTTCCTTTCTAGTCACATCGATGGATTTTGCTTTCAATGTTTGATAGCACTCAAAACTACCCTTCTAGACTTGGCATTTGTCATAATGACTACATGTCCTATAAAATTTGCTGTTCCTATGCTGGCAGCACAATAATATTAAGTGTTTGTATGTGGTTGAGTTTTTAAAGCCTTTTAAAACACAACGTTAAACAATTTCTCCCAGGCCCTTTCAACTAAATTCAGGTTAGGTTGGGAGATTGCAAGACAATGACCGTGGTAAAGAAGTCCTAAAGCCAAATTAGACTTGATTCCAAATAGAGTAAACATTTATCATGTCATAAGTCTGTACATGAATTGGGCATCTTTAGTTGTGGTCTACTTAAGTTACGTAATCTTGACCACCTCTTTCATGTTATCGTTTGAGGCTCTTCGAGCATCTTGGAAGAAGCAATTGGAATGAGGTGTTGAGACTTAAGACTTTCAAAATGAATGGAAATATGCATTACCTTAGGCATGCCTAACTAGCTTGCTTCACTGTCAGTTACCAACTTAATTACCATTGTTGTTTTCAAATGAATTTTCAATTGATGTTGCTTGAGCAATGAAAGCGTCTTCTAACCAAGCATAAAGCTGAGCAGACTAAAAAGGAAGGGAAAATCATGAAAGTTCCCCCCATGATTCCAAGTGGAACTTGAAGTGAAATTAGAGATCATGGCAATTCAATCCACCAGCAATTAAGCAAACTAACAACCATCAGTGAGACGGAAGCAATGACCCCTTAAAAATTCAACGCTACTAATAGATCTCTTATTTTTGGGGGTGGGGGTGGTGGTAATGCTGTTCTATAACAACCATCAGTGGGTATGATAAATTACCTGATAAACGCGGAATTTCCAAGTAAATCTTCTACTTGGAAAAAAAATTATTTTTTTCTGGTATGTGTGCGGTATGTTTAGGATTCTCGTTCTATATGCACAACTAAGATTTATGATTTTACACATAGGATTTTAGATCTTATGGAATGCTGTTCTATAATTCTATAAATAAGTTTGTTCATCTAGTTATGGATGAGCTAAGCAAATTTCATAAGAAGATTAACATGAATGTAATGTTTTTGAATCATATTACTGTATTAACCTATTATTTGTTTGACTAAATGCAGTGCTGCTATCTCCATGCTAGTCTCCCAGTGAATTACGTGGAGTCTTGCGTAAAAAAGTGTAGCTTCCCTGCTTGTTCAGTATCCTCTCTCAAGTTAGAACTTGACTTCACTCACCAAACAGTTCCTGGGAAGCAAAACGTTTGAAAACAAATCCCTTTTGAAATTTGTGGTACACTATGGCAGGCACACGTTCCTGCAACAACTGTAGGAAAACTTCTCTTGTTAGGGATGATGTGTCTGGGGATTTGATATGTTCCTTGTGTGGTGTTGTTCAAGAATATGATCAGTTTGAAGCCCATATTGGCGGCATCAATGGCCCACAAGGAACATTCATCCGTGTTGGAACTTCTGGTGGAGGTACTATATATAGTTACAAAGAAAGGAAATTCTTTCAAGCCCAAAGTTTGATAGATGAATTAACTTCTCGATTAGGTATATCTTCAAAAATGAGTGATATTAAAGCGATGATTTCTACCATCACAGAGGGTGAATTTGGGCAAGGTGATTGGTTTCAGGTTTTAATTGGCGCATGTGTGTATATAGTGATGCGAAAGGATAATCGCCCAATGTCTATGGCTGAAGTGGCATGGGCAGCTGGATGTGATGTTTATGAATTGGGTAGGATGATTAAACGAGTTATGATTTTGTGGATTTGAAAAAAATCAGATTTTCCAGAGTTTGATATCGTGCATTCATTGGAAAGGGTCCTTAAGATTTCACCATCTTTTGCTAGAATTGACAGAAGCAAAGTAGACAGAATTCGCAAGCAGGGGATATTTTTGTTACAGTGTGCAATGAGGTGGTTTTTGAGTACCGGACGTAAGCCACTTCCATTGGTAGTTGCTGTTTTAGTTCTGGTAGCTGAATTGAATCAAGTTGAAATTGGAATTAGCGAGTTGCCAAGGAAGTTCATGCTGTTGTTTCCACTTGTAAAACACGATACAAAGAGCTTTTAGAGAAACTTGTAGAAGTGGCACAAGTTTTGCCTTGGGGAAGAGATATCACCACCAGAAACATTGTTAAACATGCACCATCTGTAATTAAGTATTTGGAGACAAAGGCTATGTTGAAACCTGTTGATAAAAGGAAAGCCCCAGATCGTCCTGAGTAAGGGTGGAAACAGGCCAGGCCAGGTCAGGCTTTACTCTTAACAGGCCAGGCCTGTTTTGTAGTCTATAGGCCTGAGCCTGGCTTGTGGCCTGTTACAGGTTTATTTTTCAGCCTGAGCCTGGCCTGTATAAAGGCCTGGCCTGGCCTGAAGCCTGTTAAAAGCCTGTTTTTTAAAAAAATTCAAATTACAATATTTTTTTTAGAAAAAAGCTAAAATAAAAAAAGTATATATAATAATTAATTTTTTTAGTTTTATCTTTTATTTAAATTTTAGTATCATAGGTACTGTTTTAAATCTTAATTACAATTTATAAGGATATTATTGAAAACTAATTCGAATTATATGTTAAAATTTGGGACAAAACTATGTTTAAGTACCAAAAAAATTAAGACAAATAAATAAAAAAACTATTAATTTTACAATGAATAAAGAGAGTATCATAATTTAATTAATATAATACATAAGTTAATTAATCTATCATTCTTGGAACAAAAATTTTCTTTCCTATTTTATTTATATTTTTAAGATTTAAAGATCATATTATTTATTGATATTTTTATTTTAAATTATATTTTTATTTTTACTTGTCAACTAAACTTCAAAATCTAAGGAAGAACTAAGCTATTAACTATATATTAAAATTAAAAAATAAATTAAAAGTACACATTAACAATACCATTAACTAATTTTTTTATATATTATAATTATAAGTTTCTAACAGGCTCAGGCCGGCCTAACAGGCTTAACAGGCCTTTTAGAGAGCCTAAGCCTGGCCTATTAACTTAAACAGGCCTTCAAACAGGCCTGAGCCTGTCTCTTTTGAAAAACAGGCCAGGCCAGGCCAAATACAGGCCAGGCTGTAGGCCCCTGGCAGGCCGCCTGGCCTGTTTCCACCCCTAGTCCTGAGTCTAATTTGGGAGAGATGGTTAGTGAATGTTTAAGACAGCTCGATGAAAATGGACACAAGACTGATTCCATAAACCTGCCAAGTGATTCTCATTGTAGCATATCACAAAACAATATTCACTCTACAAGACCAAGTGCTAGGGATGCAAACAAACTGCTTTATTCACCTGAATGTTTATCCATGTTGTATGAGAAATCATCCGAGGGGGTCGATCTTCACGATTGTAGTGAGTGGTGGAATGGAAAATCAGAATTGAGCAAAAAGCTTGTGCTCAAACAGTTACTCGACAAGGATGTCGGATTCGAATCCATGCCACCTTCTTTTATTTCAAACTGCTTGAAATGTGAGATGAGAAGAGAGAAGATCAATGCTGCTAAGGTGCGTATAGAAGAATAATGCATCCATGGAATTCTGATTTGGGTGCTGATTGTTCTGAGAAAAAGTTCAAGAGAAGAAGAAAGCTTGTTGATGGAGTGATTGGGAGCACCTGATTATTGAGACCTTACTTCTTCACCAAGTAAAGGAGGAGGAAATTGAGAAGGGATACTACAATACATTGCTGGATTTACATGTGTTTAACTCTGGCATTGTATGAGATTTTCCTATTATTCTTACAACTATTACAAGCATGGGTATAATAATGGAGACGACTTTGGGTACCACCAGAAGCCAATTGGTTCAATGGTGGTCAGTGAAAAGGCCATGTCTGTGTTCAGTGATGAAAACCCTCATGCTTGTGCTATGATGTGACATGTATATATATTCAGTTTCATGTGTTCTTCCCCCCCCCCCCCCTTTTTGGAAGAATAAATTACGGTTTGCTTTTGTGTGTGAAATGCAAATAGAACCATTTGGGAAGCATCCATGGAGTGGGAACAAGGTAAGCTATATATAATGCCAACAGATGTAGTGGATTATTGCGTACGTATATGGTGGATGTTTGATTAAATTCATGTGTTATCTGATTATTAAAATGGTCAATCTTGCAAGGAAAGCTTGTAAACACTACACAAGTAAAGGTTAAAAAAACAAGCTCAGGAGCGCTATTTATATTTTTTTATTTGGTACTCTTTTTGTCCTTAATGTATGATTTAATTGGAAAGTTGATATTGATATTATAGATTTGACTTATTTCACATGTTTATTAATTTTTTCAAATTAACTTTATTGTTATTCCCATAGTAATAATAATAAAGTAAAAGAGATAGGAAAGAAAATTAAAAAATATGCTTAGGGTGTTTTAAAAAAAACAAATCATATTAACTAATGTAACTCACATTTTTACTCTACTCAAATTAGCTAATTATATCTTATATTAAGGACCATAAGAGTAATATTGTTTAAGTGCCACAAGATGTGATAGTGCTTGTAAATATTATACCTCCTGAGTCCTGTCTCTAATATAAAAGTTAATGGAAAAGTTAAATTTGGTTCTAAATATAATATTATAATTATTTTTGTCTCCCTTATTTATCTAAACCAAATCTATTGATTACATTACATATGTATGTTAAGGTACTTTGTATCAAGAGTAGTTTCAATCCAAATGATTTAAGAATGTATTTTAGAAAAATTATCACATATTTTTAACATACAACTAATTT